CAACGACCATATCGCGTGTCCGCTACAGAACGCCGCGTCATTGCTGACCAAGTAGACGACATGCTTCGCAGAGGCGTCATTCGACCTTCACAGAGCCCATGGGCGTCTCCGGTGGTTCTCGTCAAAAAGAAAGACAGTTCTATTCGTTTCTGTGTCGATTTCCGGCGATTGAACAAGATCACGCTGAAGGATGTCTATCCACTACCGCGCATTGACGATGCTTTGGACAGTTTGCAGGGTGCCGAGTTCTTTTCCTCGTTAGACTTGCGGTCAGGCTACTGGCAGGTGCCTATGGCGGAAGGCCGATCGCCCCAAAACCGCTTTTGTCACGCCAGACGGCTTATATGAATTCACCGTCATGCCCTTCGGACTTTGCAATGCACCTGCAACGTTCGAACGAATGATGGACAACATCCTGCGTGGACTAAAATGGAAGTTATGCTTGTGTTACCTCGATGATATCGTGGTATTCGCCCCTAACTTTGACACACACTTACGTCGCCTTCAGCACGTCTTTACTTGCTTAACTAACACCGGTTTGCAATTGAACCACAAAAAATGTCGATTTGCCATGCGTCAACTGAACATTTTGGGCCACGTTGTTTCCAAGGAAGGCATCCTCCCGGATCCCGAGAAAATGCGAGCTGTTACGGCGTTTCCTAAACCTGCCACCATCAAAGAACTTCGAAGTTTCATCGGCTTGTGTTCGTATTTCTGGCGATTTGTCCGAAACTTCGCGTCTATTATATCACCTCTCACGCAACTTCTCAGCAGCTGTAAAGACCTCTTATCGTGGTCCCCTGCCTGCGACGAGGCATTCACCACCTTGCGACGGCTTCTCACGATGCCACCCATTCGACGCCATTTCGATCCTGAAGCTCCAACTGAAATCCACACCGACGCCAGTGGTGTAGGCCTGGGTGCTGTGCTCGCACTGCGTAAACCGGAACATCAGGAATACGTCGTGGCATACGCTAGTCGCACACTTACCAAGGCTGAGAGCAACTACAGCGTCACAGAAAAGGAGTGCTTAGCCATTGTGTGAGCCCTTGGAAAGTTTCGCCCATATCTATATGGTCGTTCTTTTGACGTCGTGACCGACCACCACGCGCTGTGCTGGGACGTTGAAAGACCCATCTGGCCGCCTCGCTCGCTGGGCGTTGAAAATTCAAGATTACGACATACGCGTGGTTTATCGGTCAGGACGGAAGCATGCTGACGCCGACGCCTTTTCCCGTTCCCCCCTGTCCCAGAATGCCACAGCTGACTCCGCTTGCGATTCCACATTGTCATCGCTTGACTTTGACACCATTGCTATCGAACAACGCAATGACCCGTGGACTGCATCTCTCCTCAATCATCTCTCCGACACTTCTGAACTCCTAAAGACGCGAACGCTTCGGCGCCAAGTTCCACACTTCTCGATACGTGACACGCTTCTCTATCGACGTAACTACGCACCAGAGGGACGCAAGTGGCTGCTCGTCGTTCCACGAACCCTGATGTCACAGATTTGTTCTTCTTTTCACGCTGACCCACAATGTGGCCACGCAGGAGTCTTCAAGACCTACGAAAGGCTTCGACATCGCTACTACTGGCGTGGCATGTATACCTTCGTCCGCAACTTCGTCCGCTCTTGTGCCGAATGTCAGCGCCGAAAATCTCCACCACACGCCTCCGCTGGTGAACTGCAGCCTTTACCATGCCCTTGCCCGACCCTTCGAACGGGTTGGAATAGATATTTATGGGCCACTTCCATTGACTCCGACTGGCAACAGGTGGATAATAGTTGCTATCGACCACCTAACGCGCTATGCTGAGACCACTGCTCTTAAAACGGCTACAGCAGAGGAGGTTGCCACTTTCCTACTGCGTCATTTTGTGTTGCGTCATGGAGGCCCTCAAGAACTCCTCAGTGACCGCGGCCGCGCCTTCTTGTCCGAGGTCATTGAAAAATTGCTCGCTGAGTTTGCTATTGTACATCGCACATGTACTGCTTACCACCCACAAACCAATGGGGCTACCGAGCGCTTTAATCGTACTCTCGGTGACATGCTATCTATGTATGTGACGCCTGATCACTCTAACTGGGACTTAGTTCTCCCATTCATTACATACGCCTATAATACGGCAACGCAAGCGACAACAGGCTTCTCCCCTTTTTGCCTCCTCTACGGCCGTCACCCCTCCCACACCATTGACACCATTTTGCCCTATCGACCGGACGCGTCCGAGTGCCTACCGATCTTGGACGCCGCCAGACACGCAGAAGAATGCCGCCAGTTACCTCGTCGCTTTACATGCGATGACCAAAACAGGCAAAAAGCAATTCATGATGCCCAGACCTCAACTCCCGTTTTTCTTCCGGGTGCTCTTGTATGGCTGTCAGTGCCGCATCGCACACCTGGGCTCTCTTCCAAACTTCTGCCAAAGTACGATGGGCCGTATCGTATTGTCGAACAAACTTCGCCAGTAAACTACCTCATTGAGCTTCTTACGCCACCATCAGACTTGCGACGTCGCAACCGCGAGGTTGTACACGTCCAGAGGCTCAAGCAGTACCACGGTTCAACGCCGCCTGCCCAGGACTAAGTCGCCAGGATGGCTCCTTTTTTCTCCGTGGGGCCATTGTAAAGAAGAGGAAGTACTCCGGTGCAGCAGCATCGAGTGTGCAGCAGCGACTCGAGCTCGGAAATTGCGGCTGGTGCATCGCCTTCCAAGCCTTCCAAGCATCAACCTTTCTGCTTAATAAATCTCCTTTATAATATATACATATATATATATATATATATATATATATATATATATATATATATATATATATATATATCATAAAAAGGGGTTTATTCACGTGCGTTGCGACGGTGGCTCTACGATGAAAACACGATCGGGACAGAGCAACGTTCAGGCAGATGCCGGTGATGATCAGCACGAGGCGAGCGAGACGAGCCCAGCACCCGCCCAGTACCCACGCGGTGGCGATGCTGCTTGCCAACGATGTGTATTCTTTTTCACAATTTGCCCCCGCCGAAGAAAAGCCATCCTGGCGGCCTAAGAGTCTGGAGGCAGAGGGCTATGGTATGGGTTAAGGCGGGCGACGGGGACGATGTCACGTCCACGCTGGCGCATGTCGTCAGATGGGGAAAGTGGCTCAATGAGAAAATTCACCCGCGAAATTTGCTCTAAACCGCAGTAAGGGCCCTCGTACTTTGGGAGGAGTTTTAAGAAAAGGCCGTGGTTTGGTAAGGAACAGCCAGCCATACAAGTGATCTTGGGGAATAGCTGTGGCTTCGTGAATAGTCGGCGTGGTTTTCTTTCTGGTGCTACTCTTCTTGTGACGTGAATGTACGTGCGAGTTCACGGCACTCTTCTGCTTTTCGGGCAGCTTCAGACACAGAGGGGCATTCGGATGCGTCATGAGGTTATGGAAGGAGAGTGTCGATGGTGGGGGAAGGTTCGCGTCCATAAAGCAGAAAGAAAGGTGAAAATACAGTGGTAGACTGTGCTGCAGTGTTGTATGCGAACGTGATGAATGGGAGAGTGCGATCCCAGTAAGTATGATCAGATGTCACATACATCGCGAGCATGTCACTGAGGGTGCGGTTAAATCTCTCAGTGAGCCGGTTTGTTGGCGGGTGGTACGCCGTGGTATTGCGATGAACAACATGTCATTCAGAAAGCAGAGCCGCGACGACCCCTGATAGGAAGGCTTGACCTCGATCACTTAGTAGCTCTCGAGGTGCACCATGTCGTAGTAGGAAGCGATAGAGGACCGCGCAGTGGCACTTGGCAGGGTGGCGGTCTCAGCGTAGCGTGCTAAATGGTCCACAGTGACTATGATCCACCGATTTTCATCTGATGGTATTAGGTAGAAGGCCATAGAGATCAATTCCAATCCGATTGGAAGGTTCGGCAGTGCACGGAAGCGGCTGAAGCGCACCGAACGAGTGTAAAGGCGGAGAATTGCGGCGGTGACAGTCATGGCAGCTCATAGCAAATTTTCGAATAAAATTATACATTCCGCGCCAGTAGAAGCGATGGCGAATACGTTCGTAAGTTTTGAAAACTCCGGCATGGCCACATTGGGGGTCGTCGTGAAAGCAGGCACTCATTTGTGATTGTAAGCTACGGGGGACAACCAAGAGCCACCTACGACCTTCAGGGGCGTAGTTGCGTCGGTGTAGCAGCCGATCACGAATTGCGAAGTGAGGAGCTTGACGCCGGAGAGATCGTGATACCGTAGTGGTCGATGATCCAGAGAGACAGTCAAAAAGGGAAGCGATCCACGGGTCCTTGTGTTATTCACTGGCAAAGAGTCAAGGTCGAGAGATTGATTGATATTTGGGGTTTAACGTCCCAAAACCACAATATGATTATGAGAGACGCCGTAGTGGAGGGCTCCGGAAATTTCGACCACCTGGGGTTCTTTAACGTGCAGCCAAATCTGAGCACACGGGCCTACAACATTTCCGCCTCCATCGGAAATGCAGCCGCCGCAGCCGGGAATCGAACCCGCGACCTGCGGGTCAGCAGCCGTGTACCTTAACCACTAGACCACCGCGGCGGGGCTCAAGGTCGAGAGATGCGACAGAGTTGGTACCAGTGGTTCCGCAGGCCGAGTAGGGAGGTAAAGGCAAACGGGACAGCGCGTCGGCGTTGGAGTGCTTGCGTCCACTCTGATAGATCACGCGAATGTCGCACTCCTGGATTTGCAGTGCCCACCGAGCTAGGCAGACCAGAAGGATCTCGCAATGTGGCGTGCATGATGGTCCGTTACCAGGTCGAATGGGCAACCGCACAAATAAGGGCAGAACTTGCGCAACGCCCACACTAGCGCTAAGCACTCCTTTTTAGTGACGCTGTAGTTGGCTTCAGCTGTAGTGAGCGTGCGACTCGCATAAGCGACGACGTATTCAGAGTAGCCCGGCTTGCGTTGGGCGAGGACAGAGCCAAGACCAGCCCCTCTAGCGTCTGTGTGAACTTCTGTTGCAGGTGTTGAGTCGAAATGCCGAAGAATGGGAGGAGAGGTTAGCAGACTACGGAGCGTGGCAAACGCGACGTCGCACTCAGGAGACAAGGATGAAAGTCAGCGTCACCGCGTAGGAGGTGGGTACGTGGTGATATGATTGCCGTGAAATTTCGAACGAGGCGCCAGAAGTACGAGCATAATCCTACGAAACTGCCTAATTGTTCCAGCTTAGTAGGTTTCGGGAACTCAGCGACTGCACGAAGTTTTGCAGGGTCAGGTAAAATACCGTGCCTGGACACAATGTCCCCTAAGGTGGACTGCTCTCACGCGGCGAAGCGTTACTTTTTAAGGTTCAGTTGGAGCCCAGCGTTGGTTGAACACGTCAGAACCAGTTGGAGCCGAAGCAGATGTGTAGAAAAATCGGGAGAGAAAACGACAATGTCATCGAGGTAGTATAGACACACAGACCACTTCAGTCCACGCAGTGTGCTGTCCATAAGTCGTTGAAACGTGGCAGGAGCATTACAAAGCCCAAAAGGCATTACGTTAAATTCATACAGGCCATCTGGTGTAATGAACGCAGTTTTCTGGCGGTCAGCTGCTGCCATAGGAACCTGCTAGTATCGAGATCGAGAGTCTAAGGAGAAGAATTCGGCTCCTTGGAGGCTGTCAAGGGCGTTGTCGATGCGTGGTAATTGATAGACGTCTTTCCGCGTCACCTTGTTTAATCTTTGGTAGTCGGCGCAAAATCGAATCGACCCATCGTTCTTTCGAACTAGAACGACAGGAGATGCTCAAGGACTGTGCGACTGAATGAATAACGCGACGGCGTAGCATGTCTTCTACCTGGTCATTGATGACGTGACGTTCTGCAGCAGAGACACGGTACGGTCTTTGACGCAATGACTTTGACCCAATTGCAGCTGAGAAACGCAGAATGAATTCGGGAAGTGCTGGAGGAGACTAAGAAGCTCAGCGCGTTCTTGAGCACTCAAGGTGTCGGCGATGGAACTCCGGAAGATGTCACTTGACGAGCATGCCGTTGTGGAAAGGGCATAAAGTTCGGCCGAGGCGCTACTGCACGATTCGTCTGGCATGTTAAGGAAGAAAAAAGAATCAAGGTACTCCACTCGACCGAGACATTCGCCAGCAAGTAGCGTAAGTGGTGCAGAAAGGGGGCTGTGGACGCAAATATTGCTGTGGCCAGCAGTGACGTCAAGTGTAGCGAAAGGCAAGAAAACGGCTCTGTGGCTCATTAAAATGTCGGAAGGTGTGAAAATTACCGTAGCATCGTTATGGTCATTGCAGCAAACAGAGACATATAGCAAGAGAGGCTGGCGGAATATCAGTGTCTTCATAGGACAACGAGTTTTGGCGACTGCTCAAGAGTTTCGTGCAAAGGTTCGTCACACAGGTGCGAAAGTTGAACTTCAGTGCGTGCGCAGTCGAAGACGGCTTGATGATGTGACAGAAAGTCCCATTCGAGGATAACGTCATGCAAGCACATCGCAAGCACATTAAACTCGACAACGTACGTAGAGCCTTGTAAAGGTGCCGAGAGATCAAACTGGTTGTGCGCCAGCCGTACGAAGCGATAGTCCAGAGAGTAGCGTGGTCACTTTGCGTAGGGAGTGGCAGAGCTGGGCGGCTATAACAGAAACGGCACCACCTGTGTCGATGACGGCAAAGGTAGAAACACCATCCACTGATATGGCAACGACGTTAGCAGGTGAAGTGCGAGGACTTGGGCATTTCGGCGACGGTGCAGTTCTTGCCTGTAGAACTGCGGCGTTCAGTTTTCCCGGTTGGAGAAAGCGGGTCGCGGACTCATCGAGGACAGTGATCGCCTGCGAGGAGACGGGGAGCGCGGAGAGTAAGTCCGAGATTAGGGCTTGGGTGACTGAAACTCGGGAAGGTTTGTGTAGCCATATTGTGGTGAGGGATAGGGAGCAGGTAGGTGCATGGGCTGCGGGTCATACGGGAACGGCCGAGTAGCGTCGTGGAGTGGTTGGAAGCGACGGCGACAATATCGTGCCACGTGTCCTGCAGTACCGCAGGCGTAGCAGATCGGTCGATTGTCAGGAGTGCGCCGGGGATTGCTGACTCACTGGTGCGGCCCAAAATGTCGAAAGAGGGGTAGAGTGGGGAGCAATTGAAGACATAGGTGGCAAATACTGCTGGCGGGATCTGCTGTGTGCCACCTGGGCATATTTAAGAGGCGCGGCTACGGGCTGCGTAGCCGATGCATGGGAAACAGGCGTGGCCACAGACTTCTGCTGGGCAGCGACGAGAACAACCTGAGCTACCTCTTCGGCAATAACGTTGCGGAGCGGTGAGGGCAGATGAGAGGAACGGCTGCTGCTGCGTGAAGGTAATCAACGACAGTTGCCGAGCTACTTCTTCGCGCACAAAGTCTTTAATCTCTTGCAGGGTTGGTGAGTGATCGGGAACAGAAGTAAGACTGGAAAGCGAGTCGGCATGTGAGGAAAATGGCTGAGTCAGGGCGCGCTGCTTCCGCAACTCGTCGAAACTTTGACATAAAGTGACAAGTTCCGTAACGGTGGCAGGATTACGGGCCGGGAGCATCTGAAATGCGCCGTCATTTATCTCTTTGAGGATATACTGAATCTTCTCAGACTCAGGCATGGCGGTGTTCGCGTGGTTGCAAAGATCAACGCTGTCTTTTATCTAGCCGGTGAACAATTTCAATGGCTTCAGTGCGCGAGTCCGCAAGCGTTGTTTGACCCTGAACTTGCGGACAGTGGGTTGGCCAAAAACGTCAGCAAAGGACGTTTGAAGATAGACAACGTCGTAATGTAGTTTTTGTGGTTGTTAAACTACATTTCGGCAACGTCAGTGAGGTAAAAGATGACGTTAGTCGAATTGTCGGCGTCATCCCACTTGTTGTTTGCGCTCACCAGTTCGTAATGGGTGAACCAGTCTTCCACATCGGTCTCATCAGCTCTACTAAATACCTTGGGCTCTCGCAAGCGAAGAACGCTGGGGGTGCTGGAGGATGGAGTGGAAGAGCCAGGTTGCGCGTTGTTGCTGGCCATGATGGGTGGTAGTGTTCGGTTGCGGAGCTCAGGTTTAGGTGACGGCGAATGGCAGCACCCAGGTTCAAGCAATGGCGAATGTCAGGACTCTCCACCAATTTAAAAGGGGTTTATTGAAGTGCGTTGTGATGGCGGCTCTATGATGAAAACACGATCGGGACAGAGCAACGTTCAGGCAGATGCCGGCGACGATCAGCACGAGGTGAGCGAGACGAGCCCAGTACTCAGTACCCAAGTGGTGGCGATGCTGATTGTGCTGATTGCCAACAACAATGCGTTTTCTTCTGCACAATATATATATATATATATATATATATATATATATATATATATATTATATATATATATATATATATATATATATATATATATATATATATATATATGAAAGTAGATGCGCTTTCACATAACAACTGTTTATTGTGCCGACGTTTCGACAGGAACCCAGTCTTTTTCAAGGCATAATACTATTTACACATGTTCCGTGTCTTCTTATATCCTGTCGAGACAGGAGGGCAGGGGTCAAAAGAGAGAGAGAGAGAGAGAGAGAGAGAGAAAAGAAAAAAAAGAAACAGCGAAACGGGAGGACAAACAATAAATAAAATATAGAAAATTTAGGAGAAGAAGCAAGACCGACACGGCGTAATTAGAAAGGGGCAGCATTTCAACAGAGTAAAGCAGAGGTAGATAAGCAATGTCATCATTGTCAACAATACCTCCCCTGCACCCACTCTTCCCCAAGTGGGCAGGGAGCCGCCGTTCTTGTATTTCACCTTTCCGTGTAGTCCGCTGGCGATATATATATATATATATATATATATATATATATATATATATATATATATATATATATATATATATATATATAATTAGGAATGAAGGAGCACACTTACGAAAGTTTGATAATTGTTTACTCTACGTTTCGGCCGTGGCACGGCCTTCGTCAGGATTGACGAATTCATAGTGGGATGGGAAACCTTTACACTATGATACATGCTTGTGGTCTCTGTGTGCAAACTCCAGTACATCGGACATACTGAAACGCCTTTTATACTGCGCTTTAATAACCATAACTCACATGCCACAAGCCTACCCAATCTACCTTTGTCTAAGCACGTTATCATTCCTGGTCACTCATAAAATAAACTAAGAGCTACTATACTGGAATCAGGTTTCCCTTCACATGATGATAGGGAACTGCGCGAGTCATTTCTGATACACACGTCAAACGTGATCTTATCCGGTATAAATGAAGATCCAGGCAAACTGACGTTTCTTCCAGCGCAGAACTAAGTTCTAGTTTCATCACAGTCTGTTCAGAATCACTGTTAACGCTGATTTTCACTACACCTATTCAGGGCAGTGAATTTCTTGACTTTGTGTTATCAATTCTGTTTGAGCCCCATGAAATTCTTAGTTACGCATCTTGTTCCATTTGAACGTTTTTTGCTATACTTTTTTGTCTTTTTTGTGCGTGTGATTTGCTGTATGGGTTTGAAAGTTTTGTTTGTAGATATTACTGTACTTTTCAAACTGATATTCATGTGATCTACTTGATGTAAACCCCGTTCATGCATTCTCATAATCTTTCTTTGACATTGCTTTGACATTCTCTGCTGTTCATTACTCGCACGTCACAGTAGATAGTGTATGATAGTGATTGTTCCCGTGTCAGGGGCCATTGATATACCATGCCTACTCAAGAAAAGCGCAATTACATATCGTGTTTTCCCTGATGAAGGTTGGTCCCCGGCTGAAACGTAGGAAAAATAAAAAGTATTCGGTTTGCCCGTCCTCCACTTCTTGGTATTTTAAGGACACCTTCTTTTATAAATATATATATATATATATATATATATATATATATATATATATACATATTGATTCGCTTCATCTGCTTGTTCTTTTACATTGACATGACTACAAGGGCGCACCAAGTGATTTCTGCCACTTGCGACGTAACGCACGTTAAATTCACTAAATGAAGAAACGTAGGTGGACATGTTATCATGTAAAAATTAAAACAGTAAACGCAATAACTGTAATTTTTTACAAACAATGAAGTAACCCTGTACAAGCAACGTTTCACGCAGAAAAAGACACATGACACACCGGAAAATTGTTCGTTATTTTTTTCAATTGCCACAAAGACTGACACGTGTATACAACAGCAGTCTTGTGGTAGTCATACTCGTTGTGCCTTCTTATGTTTTCGAGCGTGTTCTTCCTACGCGTGAACAGAAAGAGGACCGCGACACTCTAAAGACTTGGTGAGTCCCCTTGTCTGAACTTTGTTTTCAAAAAAGTTCACATTCCTTGCAGAGAGCTTCTTCCTGAATTTAAAAATACACCAACTAGACAAACATTTCTAGCCAGAGAGGTTAGAACTTCAATCAGCGCTCACTAACGAGGAAAATGTGTAGTTAGCACCTGGTTTCTATGGCGTCTTAGCAAATTTCGTCTAGTCTCGTTGTACTGCAACACTTCGCGTCTTGGGCATTGTCATCATCTGGAATCACGGTTTCCGTGCATGGTATCTTTCGATCGGTTTCCGGGAGTTTTTTCGGCACACTATAGTCGTATTTAGGCAGTGCTGAACTACAGCTGCGAACCGTTTCTTCAGCTGATGTAGCTTTTTCACCAGTTGTCAAGCGTGCACTGGGGCAAGCGCCACCTATCGAGAAATAATCATCAAGCGTTTCCTTGCGGCGTTTTGGCGTGGCCATCGAGTCTCACGGAAGAGAACTGATCGACACAGAACACGAACTACCCACCAATACGTGTAGACAGCGTATTTCAAGGGGGTGACTTTGCGTTGCTAGGGAGCAACGCACTTAGCAAAGTTCGGGCGGTGACACTTGAAGCTAGAATCGAGAACTCTATAGATGATACATGTCGGCTGGTAATGTTCCGCCTTAAACACCAGCACTCGTTTCTCCCCTACTGGAAAGATTCGCAGGTATACATTTCATCCGCTTTCCTAAAGGTCCCGGCAAGGTCGCGTTTGCCCAGTATCTAACTGTGTAAGGGAAACGTCTCGCGTTTGTGATTGTGCTCCTACAGAAGGCCGGTAGTTCTGTTGCGTTGTGATCCCCTACCACAAACGTGAATGACTCCGAACGTGTTGATGCCAGCAGTGAAGTTCCAGTGACTCACTTCACAATGCATGAAACAGATAACCGACAGGCACGGATGGTGCGCAGTAAAGCGTAGGTAAACTCGTGTTGCATGCGCTGTCACTTCTCGTCGGAGTTCATGTGTTCTGAGAAACCGATTATGGTGCACCATGCTCTTAAAAAGACCGGAGTTTTTTTTCTTCATCACTAGTGAACAGATCACTAAAGGTTTTGTGTGGCACGAGGCTGCTCCTGTTCGCGCCGGTGCAAGTGCTAGTTAGAAACAGTGTTACATGAAATATCTATGCTGCGTGAAGAAATATTCTGTACAATTTTTAATTTGTTGTCGTAAAACGAAATAACAGCTGCATACTTTCAAACAAAGTAGGAAACCCTGCGGCAACGTGATCATTTCAGGGGGCAGATCAACGAAATCAAAGAAAGAATTGATAAATAAAACGAGAACATTACGCGTATTTGCACGTATTTCAGTTTTCTTCTGTATGAAACCACCGAACAAGCTAATTCTATGTGAGTAGCTGTAGTCTTGTCCCAGGTGCATTTTTTGTTGAGACCAACTGACATCTCTAACAATAGTTACTTTGTCTTTGCGGACTGCGCGATGAAACCTCTAAGACTGGAGTACTTTATTGCTATCAAAAGTGAAGGTGCAACTGTACTGACAACCAAGTTCGCTGAAAACGTTTGCCCGAAAAATAACGCATGCGAAATTGTGTTGCTGGCGTGAAGCACAACTTACAAAAAAATTACTTATTGCGTATGGCAAGCATGTTTGGATGCACGCAGTAAAGTAAGCAATATTGACTAAAAAGCTAGCACTGCGTCAGGGCTGCTTGACATGTAGAGCTTAACATAAAAATGATTTCTAGAGGCAAGTAGTCCACGAATCAACATTAAGAAATTATTCGCTCAGCAAATCAGGCAAAACTGAAACGAAATTATCAATGTACAAAAACATGCTGCGTGTGTACTACTCATTCCTCGTTGTAAGCGGTGCCGTCCTTTACTCGTGAAGCGCACTTCGCCCTGACGAGGACTACGGCATCTACGCTTAACAGAGATTAACGAATAACAATGTCTTCTACGATCAGACGGCTCGTCGCAATGATGCGTTTTCAAAGACTAGTACATTCCATGGTGCGGCGACAGGCCGTTGCTCCGAACGGTTACTGTACATGTCGTTTACACCTGCCGCGGGTGGTCTAGTGGCTCAGGTAGTCGGTCGCTAACCCACAGGTCACGGGATTAAATCCCGGCTGCGGCGGCTGCATTTACGAAGCAGGCGAAAATGCTGTAGACCTGTGTGCCCAGATTTGTATACTCTAAAGAACTCAGGTGGTTGAAATTTCCGGGGGCCTCCACTGCGGCATCTCTCATAATAATATTACGGTTTAGGGATGTTAAATCCCACATATCAATCAATCAATTACCTGTCGTTTATTGCATTACTGAGATTACATTAGTTGTACTTACTCTCTTCACAACCATACCCTTGGGGAGACAAGGGTAGTCTCAAGACATTGATACACATGTAGACAGTACATAATCTGCTCAAACCATCGCTTAGTCACGTGACAGAGGAAAAACTGATGTTTCTGCTCCCCCCCTCCCTCCATTGAGTCGGTATGAACCTCTCCCCAAAAAAAAATTTCTAGCTACGCCCCTGGGGCGAGGATGAAAGAATATTAATTTTTTTACGTCATTTCTTTCGTATCGATGGGGCTCTTGCATGACTATGCATGCTACTTTAGTAATAAACTTGTAGTTGAAAGTAAAAAAATAGAAGCATTATGCCGTCCAAAAACACTTTTTCTCCTGTTTCTGCAGGTGCTGTCCTCCCCATAATCACGCATAACAAATTAGAACAAACAAATGCTTTTGCTGTGTGTTTTGTTTAAAATTGGTGAAAGTGATTGCCTGAAAGAAACAACCTCAGGATATTTTTTTCTATTTTTTACAGATGGAAGATGTACCCTGTTCAGCAAAACTGACGCAGCTGTTTTAGACGTAACAAAGGGATGGCTCATGCTTTCTTCAGATGAAGAAGGTGTGCCTATGTGATAAAGGCATACCGCTATTGCAGATCACTCCAACGGAAGCTGAAACAATGCTTTAGGATCGCAAGAATTGTGGAAGGAATGAAAAAAATGGCATAGTTGCCTTGTATATGTGTCAAACCTGAAGCACCAGAACTATTTGCTTTCTTACTTTTCTGAGGGGAGGGAGTAGGGGGCCATGAAAAAAAAATTATAAAGAGGTAGCCAGGCATATCAAATTGTAGCCAAGACAAAAACTAAAATCAATGTGCAAGAATTTTCATTGCCCAAAATGCTTGGCTCTGATGCCAAGAACATGCCTTGCTATTGCATAGCATTCCAGTACAGCGCCAACCACGGAAACGAGTGTTTCCCATGATTTGGCAAGCACAGCCTTCATTTGCTTGGCCAATAGTAAGCTTCACACTTGTCGAGCACATATCCCCCATGGCCTCCAATAACTTTCCTAACATGGACAGCTTGGCCACTGATGGTGTACCATGCAAGCAGGTTTCGCTGGTAGGGAGAGCAGCACTTCACAATTGGGCAGCAGTGACCACGGGTACCAGCCATGTGCTTCTCAAATAAACACCAAAAGCAGAGAGCAATGGTCTTTCGAACAGCGTCGAGATAAGATCAGTGAAGCACAAATATTGTGTATGCATCCTTGGTATGTATCTCATGGACATTGTGAGTGTCTCTCAGATATCCATAAAATCCAAATTGCGAAGATTAAATGTACCCGCAACTGTGAAAAACTCGGCCGAGTAATGTTGCAGGTACGTTGCACATGGACACTGATTGGAAATTCAATATATCCACATATACAATGTCATATAGTAAATAAATGTTTCTTTTACATGCACTTCGCATACTTACCGCATGTCGTTGGTTTGTTAGACCTGCGGTACAATGGCAGTCTTGCTCCTCGCCACTCAGCTGCACTTTAAAGAACGCTACAAAGGCGTGAGGCTGGCCGGATCGATTGATCAGTTGGGTTTAGCGTCCCAAAAGCACCACAAGATAATATGAGACGCCGTAGTTGAGGGCTCCGGAAATTTCGACCAGCTGGGGTTCTTGAACGTGCACCCATATTGGCGCGCCCGGGCGTACAGCATCTCTCCCTCCATCGAAAATGCATCCGCTATTGCCCAGATTAAACCAACGACCTGCGGGTCGGAAGCAAATTTTTTTAACAACTAGACCTTCGCGGCTGCGCGAGGCTGGCCGGATTGCTGTCAGACGACATATTTAAGGCCAGCCTCACGGTGTTGATGCTTTCTATAGCACACCAGACTGCCGTCGGAGCGCACGTCTCGGGCACACAAAGTTGTGTATACATGCAGCAATCCTGAAGAAAGTGCGTAGCTGGGAAGTCTGCTTTGTTTCACTTGAGCTTTCTGTCCTCCTCTCTATCTTTTTTTCACATCTTTCTGTCTTTATTTCTTCTTTATTGTTTATCTATTTCGGTTGCCCTTGCTATTTTTATTCGTATTTCTTCCTTTTCCATCTTTCTTTATTTCTTACTTGGATCATCTTTTCTATTTTTTATGTGGTTTTGCTTGCGTTACGGCAAGCGACGGCAGTCCAGGGTCTTAAAGCAATTCACCCATAAAACCACCTTCGGGCTGCATGAGTTCACGCTATCATGAACAGCAGCACTAACGCCACGCCTATTATCTTTATGGTAGTTCACGTGCTTTATCTCCTCGCGGATATAAGTGTATGCATTACGCACGCTCTAACGATACAGGTTCATTATGTTTGAGTCCTTTCTAGATTTTACATGCTAATATATATTTATCATTCTTAACGTCAACTAAAGCGGTTTAGAAAAACAAAAAGTTCAGTGATGCATTTGATGTTGTGAGCACGTGTATGCGACATCATTTGCGACGTCTAGTAGTTTTTGTCTAAGAGAGAAGTGCATATGGCGTTAGTAATACGTAGGCTCTCTAGACTGTAAGGGTGGCACATTATGGGGATGTCGATTAGATGTTATCGATAGACGTAGACGTATGAATCTTATTTCTATATTGACAGATTATAAGTGGTTCACTGGGACCAACTGAACCACTCTTGTAAGCTTTAATCACCATGACTTTTCACGTACAAGGCGCTGTGTGTTGTGATGTTCGTCATACACCGAAGAATTTCTATTCAGATACATGAAAATTTTATATTTCAGATATTTCTACCTGCAAACGTTGACGAAATTCCAAGATTAATGTTGTTTCCTTCCTCCATGCCAGCATATTTTCCTGCACAACAGTACTAATTTCTACCTCCATCCACGCACAAACACAGTACAATTACACGTGTGTGGCGTACTGGCACTTTTGAAATATGACTAGCCCCTAATAGCGGTTGTCAACGCAAACCGAGAGATATGACGGATGAGTCGATAACAAGGCTTTGAGAGGGTGGAAATACACAGAGAGGTGAAAAGGTGGGGTGGTTTTCAACGAGACAGAATTCACTTCGATTGGTAGCTAGATCATAAGGTGGGTTGGCGACTTGCAGGACGCACAATAGCTCTTTTAGGGGGCACGCGGGCCCTTCGAGGTGCAGGCTAGCTATTAACGAGGAAAACAACCAGAGGGAAAATTTGACAGGTGGTATGGACAGATACGATTCCAAAGTGTACCAATGTCTAAGATAGGTAGAGTCCGGGGCATAAACAGACGTAGCCACGAGGGCCGAGCCAATTCAGACATAGTGTATATTAACATGCAGGGTGGCGGGAATGGGCTGAAGTGGGAAGAGATAGAAGCTCTGCTAAGGGAGGAGAGGCCGATAGTAAACGGTTTTGTACAAACGCATCTTAGCGACATAGAATAACCTCCAAACAATTCAACTACGCGTGGGAATATTGTATTGGAACAGAAGTCAGCAGATGAGGGGTATTATTGGGGCGTTCATTCATAAAAGTACAGACTGACAAAGCGTCGAGCAGGAGTGCAAAAAACATTTATGACTGAAAGGGAAAGTGGCAGGGCAAATGACACTCCTTAGTTTGGTGTACTTAAGAACGGGAGCAAAGGCCAGAGAGGAAAACCAGGAAATCGTAGAGTGTATATCAAAGGACATAGAGGAATTAGGAGGGAAGTGCGAGATAATAATACTAAGAGATATGAATGCGCACTTAGAAGATATAGATGGACATACCGACCAAACAGGCAAAATGATCATGAATATGTGTGAAAGGCATGCTTTGATCATTTGCAACAGTACTGAGAAGTGTGAAGGGCAAGTAACATGGGAGGTAGTAAGGCTGCATTCGACAATAAATTACGCACTGATGTCACATAGGATGTACGATAGGCTCAAGGGAATGCACAAGGATAAATGTGTCTTCATGTGACTGAATAATGATCACAAACGTATCAAGATAAGTTTTGGAAGAGCAGTGAAAGTGGGAAGGAGACAAGATGAGCAAATACAGGAAAATGTTTTTTCAGAAAGGCAAATATAAATAGTTACTAAACAAGTTGAGAAAGTAATCACTGAGGATAACGAAACAGTGTGGACATTCACAAATCTAATTAGAGTGTTTGAACTAGCGCTTGCTAAGGCACGTGACAAGTCACCTCAGAAAACAAGACACAATCCCAAGAGTTGGTGTGATGAGGAAGTTAGGAGAGCCATAACAAAACGTCAGGAAGCCTCTAGGGAAGACAGACATGCTAAGCAGCGGGGTGAACCGACATATGATGTTTAAAGAAAATGGAAACCTTTCTAAGCTGTAGAAAAGAAGCATCCCTTCTGATCAATGAAAAGATTAAAATAAAGAAGCTGAGTAGCTGGCAGAATTACATAAAAAGGATAGAAAAGCAGCGGCAAAATTTTGGAACCATCTAATTTCCGCAAAAATTGATACGAGCGTAGAGCAGACGTTTATAACTACAGCTCAAGGTGCTAGGCTAGAAGGGGACAAAGCTATTCAATATATAAGAGCAAGGGTGACAGAATTTTTTAAGAAAGGAGTATCCTTATGCACCACAGAAGACAAGAATTATTCAAGTGGCGCAATAGCTCCAATTTCAAAATGGGAGTGGGAAAGGGCTGAGAAGAGGGTTCCTCGTAACACATCAACAGGCCGACAGCTTTTCAATTATGCTGATAAAGACATTGGGTCCGAAGTCTAAGCAGACTTTGAGAGAGACAGTGAGCAATATAATTACCGATGGCGAAATCTCCAATGAATGAAAACTTAGCAGGGTGATCATGATATATAAAGGAAAGGGGACAAAGCTGACATAAACAACTACCGTCCTATAACAGCGACATCAGTGGTCTACAGGCTGGGGATGAAGGTTATGAAGGGAAGACTGCAGGCGTGGACATATAATAAAGGGGGGCTGGAGAACTACGGAACGGGTTTCAGAAACACAGGCGGTTGGAATACAATCTGTTCTCACAGACGCAGTGCATCGAAATAGCAGAGAAGGAACACAGACGCCTGTGGCTAGCATTTTTGGATATCAAGGGAGCCTACGATAGCGTCGTTCAAGAAGAGTTCTGGGGAATACTGGACACACTAGGTGTGGAAGATGGTGTCACTAATCTTTTAAAGGGTATCTATAAAGGAAACAAGGTAGTTATAAAGTGAGAAAAACAGGTATCCAAGCCCACAGAGGTAAAACGGGGGCTTAGGCAGGAGTGTCCCCTGTCATCCTTATTATTCATGATGTACCTACAAGGATTAGAGGCCAAATTAGAATGAAATTAACTGGACTTCAACCTCTCTTTCGTCAAACAAGGAAAACTCATTCAACAGGCACTACCAGTATTGATGTACGCAGATGATATAGTGCTGATGGCCGACAACATGAAGATTTGCAGAGATTGGTGGACATCTGCGGTAATGAGGGAGGTAGATTAGATTTCAGATTCATTACGGAAAAATCAGCAGTCATGATTTTTAATGACCAAGAAGGTAGTGAGCTTAGAATACAGGAGGTCACACTAAAGATAACAGAAAAATACAAATATCTGGGCATATGGATAAGCAATTGGGCCGAGTACCTAAGGGAACACGAAATATACGTGTCAACTAAAGGTAACAAGAATGCAGCGGTAATGAAAAACGGGGCACTGTGGAATTATAATAGGTATGATGTTGTGACAGGAATATGGAAAGAGGT